AATTAATGTTGTAAGCGATATATTATGTTCAGCCACGAAACCACACAACTTTACTTCAAGAGCTTGAGCTGCTTTAGTTTTCGTGCAGATATCGTCACTCTTTTGTACAAACTTGGAAATGATCGGCTGAGCTTCTAAAGTCTTGCGACGATTTGTATGAACTTTTAAGGCTATGTGTTTTTTTATCACAGTTAGCTCTGCATTTATCATAATATTGCACGTACGACATTTAGCTTTGTGCTGATCTTCAGGCACCTTATTAAGTCATTACTCATGTTGAAGTCAGGCGTCTCTAAATTTTTGTTGGCGATGTTTATTGCTAGTTTTTGCAATTTTTCTTGGTGGTGTAGCATCCAAATCCACATTAATTGGTTCAGTATCACTTATTTCTTCACATAAATAACTCATTTTTCACTCGAAAGCTACAAAGTAAAAATGATAGGTTACATATACTGTTCACAGCTAATCAATCTAAGTATTTAATCGGCATACTTAGCCGTTATTGTAAAAACATTTTCATTTAATATAAGAGCATAATCACATAAAATGTCCAGTCGCTGTTTTCTTCGAATCACTATTTTAAATCTTAACCGCTAGTTGGTTAGCTCAAGACAATAAAGGTGTTGCGGAAATGCTAAATTGTTTTCCTTCTTTTATATATTTGTATGTTTAATGTGTGTCGACTGCTGTATATCGTTGTACTGTTTATAAAGTTAGCTTTGTTATGTCTTCGATATTATATGTACCAAACGCTGTTGCGCTGTTCAGAAAAAAGTAGTCTTAACCCGGCAGTTGATTGACTCAGACCTTTATATTAACTTTTTATATTTTCGTGTTTATTGTGAAATAAATTTGTCTAGTTGAAGTGTTGTATTTTCACTACGTCCGAACTGATGTACGAGATTGGACGGGTAGTTTTTTCGAGTACACAACAAAAGGAAATAACTGCCAACATTCAAACAAAAAATACGCAAAGTGCGTGAATTCTTAGCATAATTGAAATCGAGCGACGATATCGATATCATTTGTTCGCTGAACTAACCAATAGATCGCGCTGCGAGCAAAAATAAAAAAGTATTCGTGATATTGTCTAAGGGGTTGTTGAGGTCTTTTCTTGGAAAGAGAAATCTTGAAAATTGTAAATAACTTACAAAAGTTAACGATACTAGAATTGTTAACGTTGTAATAAATAACGTGCCTTATCGACTATAGACGGTTGGCACTACCTACGCCATCCGTCCAGTTTTGCATAATTGACAAAACTACAGTCTTCATTATTTTAATTTCAATTATTAAAATTGAGCTACAAAAGTCTTTCCTACGCGGACGGGCCGATATCTTATTGGGTTTATACTTAACGTACATGGTGTATTAATATTACTATAAGAGGTAACTCCTATCCCTACGGCCACATTAACCCAAAGACGTGTACTTTGTTACTAAGTTTGCAACAATAAATACTAGTTTAAGAATCGCTTCAAATTGTTTTTTTTTTAAAGAAAGAGATAGCATCGGCCAAATAACTCAAATAGATGTTAAAATTAGAAAGTGCAGGAACAATGGTTAAAGAAGCGTGGTCGGTCATGCCATAAATTATAAGTAGTTCTTAGGAAATCGCACCGTACTGCCACGAAGTGACCCTGACTGCAGGGAACCGAGGGTGAGGGGTTGCGACGGTACTGGACACAATTTAACTTTGAGTTTTTAAGAGAGACTAAAATTGAAAGCCAATAAAGAAAGTTGACTTTGTACCAAAAAAAAAGAAAAACCTTTGTACTTGTACACAAAATAAATTTAATTCAAGCTGCAATCTGTATTTTAATACAGCGTTTTAACAAGTGGTTAAGACGCAACATTTTTTGGTCCTTCGAGCCGGATTCAGTAAATAAGTNTTTTATTTGGTAAAATAAAAAAAATTTTTGTAATATACGTAGAGGACTGAGAATAAATTGCAAATGACATAATAATAGTGGCTGTTTTTTTATTTCGAATTTGTTTGATTTAATCAAGTAATATTTCAAGATTCTTAGCAAAAATAAAATACTCCGACTATTCATTATTTGCAACAATAAATGACTGATTCAATTGTTCCAA